TCAATGAACTTCTGCTCGTCGGACGCTGGTACGAGATGAACAAGCCTTTGCAAGCAAATTCTCATGTCATTCTCACCAAAATCACTACAATTAACCATCTCAAACAATTCCATGCAAAACTCATTCAATACTCTCTTCACCACCAACACTACTGGGTGGCTCAACTCATCGATCGTTGCACGCGTCTTCACGCTCCTCCGCATTATGCTTACTGCATTTTCAACTCGGTTCACCTACCCAATGCCTTTGTTTTCACCAACATGCTCAAGTTCTATTCTCAATTGGGTGCCCACAGTGACATTTTCAATCTGTTTGATGACATGCACAAGTGCAATATAAAGCCTAATGCTTGTATATATCCGGTGCTGATAAAAGTGGCTGGTAAAAATGGAATAGCATTTCATGCCCATTTGCTTAAAATGAGTCTAGATTCTGATAAATTTATACTTAACGCGTTTCTGAATGTGTACGGAAAATATGGCCCTATTGGCATTGCGCGCGAGTTGTTTGATGAAATGAACGACAGAAATGTAGCGGATTGCAATGCAATGATCTCGGCGTATTGGAATTGGAGAGACGAAGTTGAGGCAAAACGGTTGTTTGATTTGACGTCGGAGAAGAATGCAATCACCTGGACGGCTATGGTTAGTGGGTACTCAAAGATGAAGGATATGGTGAATGCCAGGAGGTACTTTGATAAAATGCCTGAAAAACGTGTTGTATCGTGGAATGCAATGCTTTCTGCTTATGCTCAAAATGGGTATGCCAAAGAGGCCTTAAGTTTGTTTGATGAGATGCTGAGTGTTGGGGTTAGCCCAAATGATACGACATGGGTTGCTGTTATTTCTTCTTGTTCATCATGTAGTGATCCTAGCCTGGTGGAATCGTTGGTGAAGATGATCAATGAAAAGGGCGTTAACAGGAATTGTTTTGTCAACACAGCTATCATTGACATGTATGCAAAGTGTGGGAGCATTGAGATGGCAAGAAAGATTTTTGATTGGTTAAACGGGTATAGGAATGTGGTTACTTGGAATACTATGATTTCTGCATACACGAGGGTTGGTAATTTGGCTTCAGCCAGAGAGCTCTTTGATCGGATGCCAGTAAAGAATGTCATCTCCTGGAACTCGATGATTTCTGGTTATTCACAAAATGGACAATCAGCTGTAGCTATTGAGCTCTTCAAAGAAATGATAAGCAAGGGCATAATGCCAGATGAGGTTACAGCGTCTAGTGCAGTTTCAGCTTGTGGCCATCTAGGGGCACTGGAACTGGGTAATTGGGTTGTGAAATTTATAACTGAAAACCAAATAAAATTGAATACTTCAGTCTGCAATTCTCTTATTTTTATGTACTCCAAGTGTGGAAGCATGAAAGATGCAAAGACAATTTTTCACAAAATGGAAACCAGAGATGTGATCTCCTACAATACATTGATCACAGGTTTTGCAGCTCATGGAAAAGGAATTGAAACTACCGAACTACTACAGAAGATGAAAGAAGAAGGCATTGATCCTGATCGGATCACTTATGTTGGTGTATTAACAGCGTGTAGTCACACGGGACTGTTAGAAGAAGGCCAAGAGGTGTTCAAATCAATCAAATCTCCAGATACAGATCACTATGCGTGCGTGGTTGATTTGTTAGGTCGAGTTGGTAAACTAAATGAAGCAAAAAGAGTTATTGAAAGAATGCCAATGGATCCTCATGCCGGAATATATGGCTCCCTTCTAAATGCCAGCCGCATTCACAAAAGAATCGACCTAGGGGAGTTTGCTGCAAATAAGCTCTTTGAGCTTGAACCAGAAAATTCAGGAAATTATGTTTTGCTTTCTAATGTTTATGCATCAGCAGGTAGGTGGGAAGATGTCGAGAGAATTAGGGCATTGATGAAAAAAGAAGGGGTAACAAAAACAACGGGATGGAGCTGGATGGAACATGGTGGTAAGATACACAAGTTTATAGTAGGGGACCAATCCCATGAACGATCAGTTGAAATCTATCGGGTCTTAGCAGAAATGAAAAAGAAACTGAGAACTGCTGGATACGAGGCTGATAAGGGCAATGTGTTGAGAGATGTTGAGGAGGAAGAGAAAGAACAGATGGTCGGCACTCATAGCGAAAAATTGGCTGTTGCTTTTGCTCTGCTTGTTACTGAACCTGGAGCTATCATAAGGGTGATGAAGAACCTAAGGATGTGTGGGGATTGCCATACAGCAATAAAGATGATATCTAAATTGGAGGAAAGGGAGATTATTGTGAGGGATAACAACAGATTTCATTGTTTTAAGGACAATTTGTGTTCTTGCAAAGACTACTGGTAGCACGTATATTCATTTATTCCATTTTTTACTTCGCATTATATTGAATCGTCCTTTTAACAGCAATTTGAACTAAAACTATTGCCCGTGTTGCATTTTCGTTCCATCACTTTTAACAGTAAATCGGAAACGAGATTTAATATTTGAAACACGAGATAGTTTTGATAGCCCCAAGATTAGTAAACTAAATTAGCTGAATTATGAGACAGCAACGGTGTGGAAAAAATCAAATCCTCACATCTATCGAAGTCCAGAAATGTGAGCGCAACAAAGCAGAGTACCTTCGACAGCATACACAAACTTCGACATACTGGAACAAATGAAACTCGTGAAAATGAAGTTGAAAAACATTTTTCCAAAATCAAACGCAAAGAAAAGCACAATTCTTTTCAACAAAGATCCCTAAAATATATAATTCAGAAGCATATTCAAAAAAAAAAAAAAACGAAGGAGAAATGTCGAAGTTGTTCATAAAACCCAGATCCTATCAGCAGACACTCTACTTGATAAACTTAACATGTGCCACTGACTGACAGTTTTTAACTTTAAAATGTTAAACTAAAGGTTCCAAACTTCTAATCCCCCACTTGACCGATGTCAACTTCCAATTTCAAAATGACATTAAACTTTAGCCCTCTTGCTACTGCAACTAGGGCACTTGTACTGCTTGATATGCTCGGCTTTTGCAGGTGTAATCTTCACGCACTTCCCATGGAACCATCTCTCACAGACATCACAACAAATCCAGAATTCATCGTCACCATAGTTATCCCCACAAGCTCCACAGAGTGTTGCTCCCTGTTCATCATCTTCTTCCTCCTCCCCACTGTCATCCTCTTCTTTTGGTGCAGGCATTTTCACTGCCTTGTGCTGGGGTTCAGATTGCCGAGGTTGCTAAAAGATGCAAACGCAGACCATGCATAAGCAAACCATGTGAATAAAATTTTGAAAACTAGGTTATATAGAACAGCACTTACCATTCTCCCACTAGATTTATTCTTGCCATTGTTATTGGGAGCAGTAGGTTGGTCTTTTACCTGCTTAACAGTTCCAGTCACAACTTCAAATACAGTTGGGACGTCATTAATCATCTGGAAAAGCCTTTTCCTGCAAAACCAATTCCCAGCTAAATTCAGGAATCAAAGAGCTTGAAAGTTCATCTCCAAAACAAATATAGACAGTTGTGCAGTAAGCGAAGGAATTATCCTTCAAAAACTGGCAAAAAACATAATATACATGTAATTTTGAAGATTGTCTCAAAGAACCAAGAGGCAGAATCATAAAAGATCCATCAAAACTCTGAATGAAGAACCAATTCACAAGATAAAATGAGATGTGCCTGCCCATTAGATGATAAAAGTACTGACAATATCCTATATTATTAGGCAGAGGAGAAAATTGCGATTAGATTTCTAATCGAAACTTAAGCCTCTGCACGTTATAGATTATTAGTAACTTTTAGGAACTTTATCCAAGGAATAGCGGGGGTAACCACGAAATATGTGGATAATAACGAGTAGTTCTAAATGTGTAGTTAAAATTAAAGTTTACTCTGACTCGATAGTAGAATGGGTGGGTAGTAAAAGTAACTTTTAAGTTACTAATAATGTCTGACGAACATAGGCTAAATGTTCATTTTCTTCTATAATGTTATCGTAGCTTTGTCAACTGGAATTCATAGCAGACCAATCGTTTAAGATATATCATAAAACTTATATTTTGCATTTCAGAGCAAGGATATGTTATCCATAGGATAAAAGAATCAAGAACCTGTCAGCAGGATAAAGGAGACCCAGAAAATGGAGCCACAGTTTTAACAGCCTGCATTATGGGTGTAACCACTGCTAACACACAAATCAGGTTGTTGATCAATAGAACTAACATTCATAATTTTAAATTAATAAGACCATTGGAATTCAAAATCCCGGTCAGATATAACACAAGCATTGAGCTAAATCAGTCACTGCTGCATAACTTCATACATGAAAGGCCAATAAGAATGTTAGCAAAGTAGCATTACAGAAACCTACAGACTCATAAATCAAGATGTCTAATAATTAGCGGACCACAACCTTCCATATATTTGCCAGTACATAAGCTACATGCTTCCATACAGACGATGTGCAACACCAGAATAATAACCTAAGCCATCGAATTTGGAGAAGCAAACTTGCATCCCTTTTATCAGTCTTTTGTGCTGAATGAACTTTATTTGTGCATAGAATCTACCAATAAGTACTCTTAACGCAAAAAATAAAGTTACTATAAATGAGGGAAAAAAATGGAAGCAAACTTGCATCCGTTTGAACTGTCTTTGTGGCTGAAAGAACTTTGTTTATTCTTTAAAACTACCTTTCAAGTATCTTTAACACTTGGAATAAGTTCACTCTGGAAAAAGAAAAAGACTTGGGGAAGCAAACATGCATCTGTTTAATCAATCTTTGTAGCTGAACGAACTTTACTCGTGCTAAAAATAACCTTAAAATAAACCAGGAAAACACAGAGCTTAATTAATAATGGAAGGCGGTCGAGCAACACAAAAACTAGCAAATAATGTAAGAGAAGAGGGGAAAATACCAAGCACTGTGTTCTAATGTTTAAGTCCATCCAATTTCTCGAGTTCTGATGGTACTAGAACAAATCTTCTATACGACAAGATCCATTAGTGTGGTTATGTCAAGAAACTTTTTCTTTTTTTAAGAAAATAACCCATATTTCAGACATTGTTGATGGCTAGACTCCTCGACTAAGATTTGAGTTCAAATCTGCAATGAAGAGTACTTTGCTAGATGACTAAGAATTTCAAGACCTAAGAGCAAGGAGAAATAGAATTGGAACTTGCATTCAAAACAAAGTCAGAAGAACAAACAGACATCCAAAACAAAGTCGACATATTGAAGACCGAAGAGGTGGACAAATAGAGTAGAGGTCACATGTATTGATATGACAATTTATAAATGAATGAATCGCTTAAATGCCTCACCTTAAATTTTCCACATCTAAAATCCTCATTCTACCTAGAGTCATTTGGAATGAGCTTTTCAGTTGCATTGACTCAATTTACATTCCATAATGGCCATCCTGTGTAAATAAAACTTCTGCATTTAAGAGTTACAATCTAAAGGATTCCTAAATGTATACATATTCATATGTTTTACGTTCATATTTTTAATGTATGTGAGAATATTGTGAAATTCACTCAAAAAAATTTGAGTCTCACATTGTAATACTTTTTTATAGCATCACCAAGTTAGAGATAATCAATTAGCCAAGCTACAACAGACAAGGTTTGTCGTTATACCAGTGTGTTATATACCAAAGAAAGCTCGTTTCGTAATAATTTGCAATTGTTGTTACACCAACCTCCCAGAGAAAGACACATGTTTCTATTGAATGGATCCTTCAACGAATAAATAACGTTATCCTTGCTTAAATCCAGAAGGGATTTGATACTGGCTGTAGGTTATAAACTATATGCAAAAGGAGTTCATTTCTTATAGCAGCTTCTTAATTATGCGTGATTGTGCCATTTTGTGAAATATCAATACACATTTCTTCAAAACTAACCAAACTAGTGAAATTTTGAATTTAATGTGAAAAAAAATTAATTAGATAAATTCAATTATAAAATATTAAGGATTGCTTGTGCATTCAACCCCCTGTTCCTGGATAACTAACAGATCTTACAAAGGCACCTGGAATGGTTAAATTAAACAAACATCATCAGTGCATCGCTAACAGTTGAAAATAAAGTCATGTCAAATTAAGTCATTCATCAGAAAAAACAATAAAACGCAAATGACAGCAACATTTACATAATTGTTTTTCTTATATGTTGGTGCACATATGAAAGCTTGACTTTAAAGATGGATATGAATGAGTAATGAAACATGCACCAACAGAAAGCCGTTTCATCATTGACTCATCATCAGATGTGGAGCAAAGAAAAAAAACTTCATAGCCGCAATTTGCAGATGTGCAGTGGGAAGGGAGACAATTGAAGAATTTTTAGTCTGGAAGATCTTTCATAATTATTAGAAAACTTAGTGAAGAAACATGTACAGTAATGCAATCCAGAAACTTTATTTGCACATTAAAGAAGAAATGTTTTATTGCAAGCTAGGCGAATTCTGAATGGAGCCGGGATCCATTGGCAGGGAGAAAACACCAGCTGGATATATGAACAACTACAAAGTCAACCATAAGAAGCATAAGTATGCAAATAGTAATAAAATTCCTCATCTGCTTATTGACTTAAACTAAAAATTTATAAGTAATTATAACTCTATACAATTAATCACAAATATACCAAAAAAGAAAGAAAACCAGAAAGTAAAAGAGAAGGGATTCCAACATAAACTCTAGCTGAATCAGAAGATGAAAAAAGAGGGGCAAACACTATCTTGCATGAAATAAGACGTAAAGGATCAAATTCACAGATATCATTAATAATATCTTGATTCAAATCAAAGTCATAATCGGTATTGTTCAATTAGCTTGTCAAAATGTCAAGCAGACAGTAGAAATCCATTATCTTAAAATGTTATTTGTTAAAAATACAGCAGTGCAAATGTAGAATAAGTTCACAAAGAGACAAGGTGTTTCAAAAGTATAATTACCTTTCACTCTTGCCAAACCCAAAGCGTGCACCAAAGTAAAATGCAACAGAAAGCAGCCAGGAGTCACTGTGAACTGCAACAAGTGATAACCAGTCCTTTTCTTGCATCCCATCCCTAGCGAAGTTTATCCCCAGTGCTGGTTCAGGAAGTTCAGGAGGCACCTCCTCAGCAGGCAAGTTGACTTCCCACGTCTCATTTGGAAGCCCATAGAGACAGAGGTTCTCCTTTTCTGTAAACATCAAGGCAGTCAAAATAGCAACAAATCCATTTAATCTGAATTTGCTTCATTCGAAACATATTTTAAAACCTTGAACTCTGGAAATAAGAAAAAAGGAGTAAACTCCAAACCCGCAATAACTGAAGACCTATTTCATTCGTAAAATTATATGATCATCATTAATTTTTTGTTTTTATGAACCAAATGATCATGAGTTCACGGGTGAAGGTGAAAACATCATAAAAATGACAACACAACCTCTAGGCATATCCTGACGAGAAAAAAAGAATACATGTTGATCCAATAAAGGAAAAGGTGCAAACAAAACTATTATCTGCCCCAGAATATGACAATTATTCCTCAATATTAAAAACAATAATCAGTTGAGGATCTCCTTAAACTAGAAAACACCTGAGTTTGCATTGCCAAGGACAGCAATAAATCAATTGGTTGTATACCGGCTAATGACCATATAATTAATGACTAGATATATAATACATAACAGGATATTCTGCAAAAATAAAGACATGAACAGAATTCCAGAACAAATCAAACGAAACACAACAATGATTCACTTTCACTTCCAGTTCAACAAATGGGTTAATCTACCAGTCTTGTGAACAGTACAACTAAAGAGCAAAAATGTCCAAAACATTCAATAAATATACTGAATAAGTACATAATGTTGAAAATCAACGCTTTTAGTAATACATAACAGAAATTAATATTTTATGTTCTCAATAATAGTAGACTACCAAAAATGAAAAAAGAAACATACACACAAACACACTCAAAAACACCAATAATCAAAGTCCACAATCGAGGGTCATTTATCGAGAAATCTCACCAGGATCGCATTGCTGATAACATTTCTCAACATCTGCATCATCCCCAGAAAAGATATACGTCAGAATAATCCAAGAACAAATTCTAATACCCTATCACATTCAAAAAAAATTTAACGCAAATAGATGTCATAATTCCACACACATACGTATATATATACACTCACACACAACACATATATAATAAGTACACACAAATGAAAACATATAGAATGTCGACGGAAATGAAAAAAATAAAAAATACCAGTTGTGAGGGCTTTGATGAGGCCAGCTCGACGGCCTTTGAAATCGTTGAAGACTTCCTCTACAGTTCTCGGTATCGGATGCGGAATCCCTTCCATTTCCTACTACTCTTTCTGACCAGTTTCCAGTCTTTGTTGTTCTGATATTTGACAGACAGCCACACAAAAACCCCTAATAATTTAAACGATTTTCCTGCTAAATTGAACACAAAATAGTAAAATTAGGGTTTTGTTGATGGGCTAGGGTTCCTTCCTCATGACTCCCAGTTGATTTTAACAAATAATAAAAGTAAAATTGATATAAATATTTGAGTGCGAGACAGAAATTGGAATCTGAGAAAGGAAAATATGGATGAGAGAGTTTTTGTGTGTGTCAATGCGAGAGAGAGAAGGAAAGTGACGTGTTTTTGCAGGATTGGAAGTCTATGAATTAATTTCTTTGTAGGTCACTGGACTTTCAGTAAATTGTCAATTGGGTCCCTTAATTATAATTTTTCTCAATTCAATATACTTTCAAGTTTTCTTTGTATACATTTTTAAAGTCTTTCAACGTTGTCATTTGTATCAAGAAAAATAAAATGGTTATGTTAGTGTCCCTCAAAACAAGATAGTAACAAATCAATTTGTTGTTTTTTTTTATTATTATTTATGGTGAAGAAAAATGAAATATATGAATTGATGATAATTATGTCACCTAAAAATAGAAGCCCCTAAAAGACCCATTTATTTTTTCTATTTATTTGAATTATGGATGCAAGTGTCTTCGACAAATCTAACACCAAAATTGGACGGTAAAGTTGCACATCAAGAAGAAAAAAAAAGAAAGAAAGGTTTGAGATCAAACTGTGACCAAACCTATTGGTTGGGACTGCACTTGCAATTTAACCATTTTACCATGTGAAATGTATTTATCAGCGTCTCAATAATTGCATTAATATCTGTAAAAAATTAATTCTGAAAAATAGATTTTTGCACTCGGGGTCCCCAACTCGAACATTTTGTTGAATAAATGCACAAGCAAATTTTCTTCGAAGAATTTGAAAATTTTAATGAATTTTCCCTAAACCTCGTCATATAAATTTTTTTTCACGTACCGTTCACCCCCATCGGAGAAATTGATTCGTGGATTTGTTATCTGTACAGCTGTACTATTGAGTACTAGAATAATGCTATACAGCCCTATCAAAGTTGTAATCTCAATTTAAGTGACATTAGACAATGGGTTAAATGAAAGATCTAATTAAATTACTCATTTAATTTCACTTATTATTTAATGTGACATTGCCGCCATCTAGATTGGGGTTGCTACTCCGGTGGTGTTAAATAATATTATACTTGAGTACAAACATATTATAAACTAAACCCTGTTTGATTTAGCTTAATAGTTAATAAAATCTGAGGTGATATAACTTGCAGATTTATCATTTCTTCTATTTGAGGTGATTAGCATGGACCCAACTCTTAGCCACATGGGATGGGCCTCCAAAGCTCAAGGTGGTTAGGATCCGAAGCCTTAAACCTTACGCTAGTTGGAATCAGACACTTTGCGCTACCTGCTATTTTATTGATGTGACATCTATGCGATAACAGTTAGAATCAAAATTCCCTTTTTCGCCTAAGTGTGTGGGAGGTCTATGGTAGCTATGATATGATATTTAGTGATTGACTTATGTGTCATAGAGATGAAGCTACGTAGTCAAGACTTCGAGAGACCTAAGACTCATTCATTTGTTTTAAATACTCACACTTGATGACATTTGAAAATAACTGCAAATTAGTATTTCTTACTTTAGAAATATCAATTTTACTCCCACGTTTCTTCTCCTTTGCATTTCTCCCACATCGAATTATATGTCCGTTCATTGAATTGAGGGTCGAAGAATGTACAATTGAGGCCTCCCTGCATTTGTTTGGAGAGGCTTCGATTTTGTGCCTCTAACACGTGCATCCAAGTGTGCAAGTAACATACGCTTGGAGGAGAGAAGAGTGGATGTTTTCGACACACTGAATTTCAATCATATTCGAAGGTCAACAATACTCATTTATTAACAGATTTTACGATAGATAATTATATTTTATAGCGATGGGTCCTCAAGGAAAAGAAGAATACCTTTTCAATGCAGAAATTAAACTCAACTTTGGATTCAAAAACTCATAGATAATATTCTTCTCCACTTTTGGAAATTCGACCTTTCCTTCCTTTTTGTATACAGTTCTTCGAACTGTCTAGCACCAGTGAAAGATTGTGTCGCATTTCATTTTCAATCTTCCATGTGGAGTATTGTAGTCGTTAATGCGGGACAGTTAAAAAATGAAATCATAAATCAATTGAAAAACTGAATTAGGATCTCAATATGATTATGATTTGTTCCGAGTCTATAAATATTTTTTAACGTTATAAAAACATGACATTTACTGTTTGATTTATAAGATATTTCACTTTTCCCATTTTTTGATGAATTTCAAATATTTATCGCACTCATTCGAGCGAAATTCGAGCAAACACCTATTCGTATAAACTAAACCCTGTTTGATTTAGCTTAATAGTTAATAAAATCTTAAGTCAAAATCAATAATTAATTTTAACAAGATATTTTATGGGATCTACAATTTTTATAAAATTTTTCATTCATACACTTCATCAATTTCTACAAAAAAAAAAAAGGAAGAAGAAGAAGAAGAAGAAAATCTACTAAAAACCGGCCGATTCTAGTTGTAGAAACGAGAATTGATTAAAATTTAAGCAAAACTAAAAACAAATCAACAAGTTCTAATTTGATCAAATCACCCCGAAGTTTCAAAGTCATAGGAATTGGTTCTATCGTGGATGCAGACAATGGAGCTCGTTTTACAAATAAGCCCCGTTTGTCTACCATTATTTCAAAAAAATATTTGCTACAGTAATATTCTTCACCACACATTCACCCAATAAAAATATCCTACACACAAACCAATAAAGTTACTTTAATTTTCAACCACACATTCTCCAAAAAATACTATTCATTACTCTATTTTTCTTCCATTAATGGGAGACAAGCACACCCTAAGCTCTCTGGAATTTATTAGTACTGTTACACCTTTGTCATGGTAGGACACGTGGCTACCTATTAAAAAAATATCATGAAAGCACTTATTTTTCGAGGCAAATAATAGGAGGTTCTCCTAATCCACCTCCAGGTTCGAGGTGGTGAGACTACTACCATCTCTTCGACTACTTTCAATTTCAATGTGTTAAGAGCACAACCCAATTTATTATTGACAACAACATCTGAGGTGATATAACTTCTTGCAGATTTATCATTTCTTCTATTTGAGGTGATTAGCATGGACCCAACTCTTAGCCACATTGGATGGGCCTCCAAAGCTCGAGGTGGTTAGGATCCGAAGCCTTACGCCTTACGCTAGTTGTAATCAGACACTTTGAGCTACCTGCTATTTTATTGATGTGACATCTATGCGATAGCAGTTAGAATCAAAATTCCCTTTTTCGCCTAAGATAGTGTGTGGGAGGTCTATGGTAGCTATGATATGATATTTAGTGTTAACTTATATGCCATTGAGATGAAGCTACGTAGTCAAGACTTTGAGAGACCTAAGACTCATTCATTTGTTTATAAATACTCACACATTTGAAAATAACTGCAAATTAGTATTTCTTACTTTAGAAATATAAACTTTAAACCCACATTTCTTCTTCTTTGCATTTCTCCCACATCGAATTATATGTCCGTTCATTGAATTGTACAATCGAGGCCTCCCTGCATTTGTTTGGAGAGGCTTCGATTTTGTGCCTCTAACACGTGCATCCAAGTGTGCAAGTAACATACTCTTGGAGGAGAGGAGGGTGGATGTTTTCGACACACTGAATTTCAATCATATTCGAAGGTCAACAATACTCATTTATTAACAGATTTTACGATAGATAATTATATTTTATAGCGATGGGTCCTCAAGGAAAAGAAGAATACCTTTTCAATGCAGAAAGTAAACTCAACTTTGGATTCAAAAACTCTTAGATAATATTCTTCTCCACTTTTGGAAATTCGACCTTTCCTTTCTTTTTGTATACAGTTCTTCGAACTGTCAAGCACCAGTGAAAGATTGTGTCGCATTTCATTTTCAATCTTCCATGTGGAGTATTGTAGTCGTTAATGCGGGACAGTTAAAAGATGAAATCATAAATCGATTGAAAAACTGAATTAGGATCTCAATATGATTATGATTTGTTCTGAGTCTATAAATATTTGTTAACGTTATAAAAACATAACATTTACTGTTTGATTAATAAGATATTTCACTTTTCCCATTATTTGATGAATTTCAAATATTTATCGCACTCATTCGAGCGAAATTCGAGCAAACACCTATTCGTATGCTACGAACAAGTCCCTTTTTATTGTTGTTCACGTTCCCATCCTGCGTCAGTCATGAACTCTACTTCTGTGGCAGCCATGGTCTCATAGGATTATCTAAATTGATACGAAAATGAAACGAAAGTGGCATATGCTTTACCTTCTCAGAGATAAAATTATATATATATGATCATCAGTTAAATCTCAATCATGCTGCAAAGTACATCTTATATCGTTTTTGGACAATCAGTTGAGTGACAATTACACGTATGTTCTGAATAAAGATGACGAATTTGTTTAGCGTAGTAGCTTTTTAATGTTTAGCGAATGTCAGTACAATCTCTTTTCACAAGCGAATGTATAGCGTAGCTTCATAACGTTGAGAAAACACTACATAAACAACCGGATCTCAATGAATGAAAAAAATTTAAAGCGACGAAGATGGCATGTGAGATCTATTTAGAGAAGGACACTCCATGGTCGATACGCTAATTTCCTTCGCATGTGATTGTTCAACAATGGAAGTAGAGCCTTGAGCCAATTCTATGGCTAGTTTATCCGTCTGAGTACTACGGGCTTTTCCCAGCCCACTTTGGCTTTTTCCAATCCAATCGAGTATAAGTCCCTGCGTAGACTCCTCAAAAACGGTCTTCTTAAACATGCTACCCATCTGCATTCCATAAACCAAAAAACAAATGAAGTCGAAGTCGAAGTCGAAGTCAAGTGACCAAGTTGAAATAAAAATAGAGTTTGGTGAGTAAAACGAAATTTCATTGAAAGTTTAGTAACTGATTTGAATTGATTAGTTTACCTGTGTGACTAAGGCATACAAAGGCAATGTGCTATAACTGCAAAGGACTTGAACAATTATCCTGCAAAATACTTTAATTTAGTGACTAATTAATGAAAAAAAATCAAATGACTCGAACCTTTGTGTCCAAACCGTTATATCGTCTATACTAGGATTCAACTTAAATATCTTACAAAGTAGAGGTATTGAACTCGAATCCTAGGATATACAATAAAAATCCGTGAGAGATAAGATGAATAGAGATTCTCTCAGAACGGACAATACGTATGACTGAGTTAACGAATGAGGCACAAAGACTTGGGTTGTTACAAAAATCAATAATTTTATTTGAAGTCCAATTGGTTACCCAACAACAAGTCTTGGGATGATGAAAACCAATTCTTCAATAATGCATGATTTGAATCCATATGTGCACTGCATAGAGTTGAAAACCCAAGATTTAAAATTTACTCAATGGGGAAGTTCATGTCATGTTGATCAATATGTTTAAATTTTTCCTGACCTCAAAGAAGCTGCGAATGTGTACTTACCACAATCCAAAAGAAGAACGCGACCTCAAACGAATTTTGAAACAAAATGAAGTGTATCAAGTAAAGAACGATTTCGGGGCGATGAAACCAAAACAATTCATCAGAAGGCTTAACCTCCGTGCCTTCAGGGTCACCTGAAGTTCTTTCTGCTGCATCCTTTGCTAATTGAGTGATTATGTGCTCCAATTTAGCACCCACAATAAGTAGAAGCTGAAATTCATTTCAATAATTGACACATGTATATGTCTAAATTTCACATTGAGCAATAAGTCACTTCACTTCACTTACTACTAGAGGTAAAAATGATAGCCAAAAATATGTGTGCCATCCTGCAATTTTAACCCACAATTTCGTGTCGAAAAGTTAGAAAATATTAATGCATTTGAAATAAAAGGGCATTGAATTTTAATAGTACCTGCAATGTTCAAAAGCAGAAAGACAACAACAAAGAGCCACAAGTACCAGCTGTTTTTAGACAATTTATCGGCATGATTAGCATAAGCAGACCAAGTATAATCATCGATTATAATTGGATTAAATCTTGTGTTTCACCTTATACCGATGATTTTCTTAAAATCTTCTTCCACTGTCCGTAGCATGTACTTGTGAAAATCATAATCAGGATTACCAGGGCAGTGTTCCTGTAACCAAAAAAAAAATTGTTAATAAGTGTGTTTTTACGTACTTATTAGATACTGTGTATTTTTGCATACTTATTAGATACTTTAACAAGTTAATTATTGATTAAATTGAGCGGATATGTATTCGCAATTGTATAATCATGACTTTTGTAGGTCAAAGCCCCAAATTGAAATAGAACAAACGAAAAGGAAGAGAAAAGGACCAAAAAATGTAAAATCATGATGTTGGGGACCAACATGCACAAGTGCATAAAGTTGAAGGACATTGGGTTGCAATTTATGAAGGGCTCAACAGAAATGAAAGTCAAAATATGAGGAAAAATTGTACAAAATCATAGTTGAGGGACCTATAATGAAAATATTGGAGGACTTGGATGCAAATTATGAAAGGTTTTCTAGGTTTTTAAGAGAGAAGGGGGCAGCCACAGAAATTCATTCTTCCTCCTTTCTTTTTCTTCTCTTAGTTTCTTTTTTTTCTTCGTATATTTTCTTGTAATTTGGGGGAAAAAACTTAGAGCAAAAGGAGAACCAATCAAGAAGTTGGAGAGATATTTGAATAAATCAAGATTAAGCCATTATCATCTTCAAATCCCAACCAAAAGGATTTTATCTTTAATCTTGTATTTTCTTCGTTATTGTCTCCCAATTGTGATGTATTGTGTGAAATACTCTCTCTCTCTCTCTCTCTCTCTCTCTCTCATAAATGTGCTAAGTTATTTGTGTTGAGATTTATGATAATTACTTGACCTAACTTTAATTGATTTTAAAATTTCCTTTTTGATATTAAAATATTTATTTTCATGTGTATTTACGATTGATTTCCATGCTATTCATTTATTGGGCCAATAAATATTTGTGCTAAGTGATTTGTGCGATTATTGAGAAATTCTTGTACATTTTAGATGACGGAGTAAATATCCTAGATTCTTGATAAAGGTATACCCCTAACACTAGGTGGTTCTTTGGGTTATTTTCACAAAAAAATGAATGCGACTGTTTGATTTTAATTGACGTATGAATATTGTAAATTAAATCAACCAGTTATGTTTAATTTTACTCGATAGAGATAATTGGCTAAAATTAAAAAATCAGATCAAACATTGTTAATAAGTAATGTGTTAATTTTCTTGTGAAGAATTAGTTAAGTGACAATAAAGCAAAATCATGAATCTCAACCACTTTTTCCTCCTAAATTTTCAAGTTTCTATATTTTCTTATTTTGTAGTGTTTTAGTTATTTTTCGTTATTTTTACACCAAAATCTTAATTTGTGTGTTTTCCATTGTTAGAATTAAATTTGACTAAAACGGTGCAATTAAAAGTAAATATTTTTCGAGGAATTGACAATCCGAATTCAAAAAGTCAATTTTATTACTTGAATGCGATCCGTGCACTTGCGGTACATAATTTTAGCGAACACATAGATAATTATAAAATAAAATATTATGGAGAATTAATTTTAGGGTAATGCTACATGTACACACACACTTATACACAATCTTTTACACCTCTCTCACATGGAGGGGGGTCCACGATTATTTTATTATGTGTGGGCCCCCTTCCATGTGAGAGAGGTGTAAAAGATTGTGTAAAAAATTGTGTACACTTAGCATTATTCTTAAATTAATCCCATACTGCACTATTTTCACCATTCACAGCGACACTTATTCCAATAATCACATCATAGCAACTTAGCATTATTCTTAATTTTATATGATACCTGTACGAATCCAGATCTCAATGCAATGTAGTCTGACCTAGTCACCGAGCCGTAAAACTGTTTGAAAAATGCTGCCTGCATCAAGAATCCAAATTTGAATTAATTTCTGAATATTTATTATTTATAATATAAAATTTAAACAAAGATTTTTAGGGAACTTACCATCCAACTCACAACATGAAATTTTCTCCAATATTTGCCTGAACGTTCCTTGAATTCTTTGAAATGATGACCAATACGAGGATGTCCTGAAAATGGAATATGTAAACATGTAGTTGAAGAATTATAAATAATAAAGAAATAAAATTAATTACCATGGTGTGGTCTTGATATTTCCTTTCTAATTGAATGCTCCCAGTGTCTCCACTCACTTACCTGTATGCATAGTTGATTACTAGTTATTGTATGCATTATAACGGTTTACGTGCGAGGGTACGTATTTTCAATCATACAAGTTCTCAATAAATTAATTTTGCATATAAACGTAACAAAATTTTTACTTTCTAACTACACATTCTCTAAAAACTCACCTTTTATAAAAATATATTCTTAAAAAATGGAATCAAACCGGAGCTAAATGGTGGTCGAGGACAAATGTATACTTATTTTCTAACTATTATCTAGCTTACAATTAAGGGGGTGTCTGTTGCTGCTTTTTACAAAAATTTTAGTGATTTTTTACCCTTTTTTTCAAATTCATGGGTCCCACTTTCTCAAGCTTGGTCAAAGATGTCGGCTTGATTTGTTTCCAACAGTAAAAAATTCACTCAAAATCTTGGAGAAAATCGTGCTCAGACAAACACTAAGTAAATGGTCTATATCGACCATAAACGTGCTTGCTTCTAGATATAGACACTAAAGATGATTGACCGAAATTTTATTTAGGATGTGTTTGAACTATATTATTTCGAAAGAATGTATTTTGGAATAGTAGATTGATAGAGAATGTGTGGTTGAAAAAGAATGAAAAGTTATTGATGTGGTGGAAAATATTATTTTATTGAAAAATGTGTGATTAAAATGAGTAGAAGAATGTGAATGAAAATTTTAATGTGCCTCGAACTGGGGCATAATACAAGTTAGGTTTTCAACCATTTATTTCGAGATGACAGAGTTTTCGATTTATGGTCCAAGTCATATTCAACCTCATATTGCACAGAAGGACCATTACTACAGTTTGTGGCCTTGATGCTACTGAGTAAGCCACTTACAGTTTGCTTCTATAAGTCAAAACAGCAAGTGAAAGCGATGTATAATATAGAAGAAAATTACATAAACCGAACTTTTACGACATAATTGGTGCCTAGAATTGAAAATATTAAAAGTAACCAATAAAATTTATCATGTTTTTCTCTTCAATATTCTTGTCTAACATTATCCAGTTAAACTTACCAAATATGTCGGAATTGCTTTCTTGGCATATTTACTTCACAACTTGGACGAGTATACATCAATTTGAAACGAAGCATTTTTTTTAATAATGTTATTCGTATTAAG